TCCAAGCCTGACCTCCCCATGCCCGACCTCTTAGCAGCAAATTCCCTCACCTCCTGAGCCTTCTCTGTGCATCTTCTTGGCGGGGCCCACATCCTGGCAGGCAGGCAGGGAGGTCTTTTGATGCAGGACAGGCCGCGAACCCCACATCCAAAGGGGAAAAGACGTTCTCCGGATCGAGCCTGGCCGGTGCCCACGCACCTGTCCGAAGTGCGCGCACCTGGCTCACCGGGGCGCGCCCGCGGGGCGGGCCGGCCCGGGGAGGATGCTCGGCTGGGCCGGAAGGCTGGTCATCGCCTGCCCTCTGCTGGCCGGCGGCGGTACTGAGCCCGCCGCCGCTCCGCTGCGCGTCCAGTGGGTGCAATGAGGGGGCGCGGGCAGGTACTGAGCGCCTGCTGTATGCATGCCAGGCACCGCGCCGGGCGCCGGGTGTCACAATACACGCGGGGTTCAAGTTCAAAGGCGGAGGCAGGCCATCATCACGGTCATCCGAGCAGCTATGACATTCCCACCGTGGGCCCTGTGAGCCCGTGATGGGTGGATGGCAGGGTCCTGGCCAGACTGGGGTGGAAGGGAGAAGAGGGGTCGGGGAACCTGCCCCGAGGAGGGGGTGACGCTGCAACATCAGGTGAGACCTCCCACAGGCCGTTCCGTTCAGGGTCGGAAACCCTGCACCGCGGCGCTCCCTCCCCTTGGACAGGGCAGAAGGCGGGCTCAGACCGGGGGAAACTCCCCCGAAGTCAGAGGAGCGGAAGGGCCCCGCCTCCCCGCGGTTCCGGGAAGCGGGGCACGTGGCCTCCCCCCGCACAATGCCTCCTGCACCCCGGCCCGGGGCGGGGCGGGGCGGGCGGAGCCGGGGCGGCCCGGGCGCGGGCGGGCGGAGGTGCGGTCTTCGGGGGCGGGGGCCGGGGAAGGGGCGGAGCCGGGCTCGCTCCCGGTCCTGCAGGAGGCGGAAGTGCCATGCGGGTGCGGGGCCCAGGACACTGCCCGCTGGCCCCGTGCACCCGGACGGAGGCGGCGGCTCCGGGTCCCGGAGGTCCGGGGGCAGCGCCGGAGGCAGGGCCCCGCCCGGGCCCGCGGAGAGGTACCCGCGCCCCGTCCCGCCGGCCCCGCCCATCTGTCCTGCCGGTCGACCCGCACTCCTTCCTGATCGCGGGGCCTGAGCCCAGAAGGGAACTTTCTCAAGGGTGGAGGAACTCCTCACTTCGTCCTTGTGTCCGGCTCAGCGGTGGTGGTTGGGGGGGGCGGGGGCCCTGGACACCCAGAATGTGGGATCAGGAGATAATGAGATGCAAAAACCTTTGGGGTGGGGGCGGGGGGTAGGGGGTTGGCTGGCCCAGCAGCATCCCAGGCTGACTGAGACCTTGAGGAGGTGATCCACCCATGCTGGCCCTAAGGAGTCTCCGTGGCCGAGCAGGGTCTGACCTGCCCCGCCTGCCCTGAGACTGGCCAGGTGGGGAGGGGAGCCGTGAAGGCGGCTGGGAACCTGGGGTTGGGGTTTTCCCCTTCCACAACGATAGGAATTCTTATCCTCCTGCTCCCTCGGTTCCTAGGTGGAGAACCGTGCCCCTCCCTGGCCCCAAATCTGGGAGCCCCACACGCTGAACGCTTGCCCTGGCTTCCCCGTGGTGGGATGGTGTATTGGCCTGGGAGACGTATGGATGTTCCCGGAGCCATCTCAGGCCTGGGCACCCTGGGAGGCCTGCCTGGAGCCCGCCTGCTCACGTTGCTAACCGTGGGGGTCACCATGTCATGCAGGGGGGCCCCCCGAATGCTGAGTCAGACTCTCAACTGTGAGCGGGGACAGTGCATTGGAGTCTGACCCGTAGTGTCGTCAGGACCAGCCTGGCTGAATGGGACTGTCACCAGGCCAGTAAGGACGCTGGAGCTGATAGGTGGCATGTGTGGGCACTGGTTGCATGCTAGTACTTTACTTGGATGATGTCACGAATTGCCCATACATCCCTTATGGTATCCCCATTTCAGAGGCTGAAACAGGCTTAGCGAGGTCAAAAGCCCAAGGTGACAGCTGGTGTCAAGGAGGGGATTGGAGCCCAGGCGGTTTGGTGCCTTACCCACAGTGCCCTGCTGCCGTCTAGGATCTAGGCATCCGGTCATAAAGCCTTGACCTAGTCAGCAGGAGGAGAAAGGAGGGACCAGATGAGCGGAAAGTTGGGGGATGGGATTCAGAGTTTTTTGGGGGGGTACCCATGAGTTCTGAGAGAAACTCGGCCGACCTGAGTTTGGAGGGGGGGTGAAGTATTTAATCTTAGGCGTTGGTTTGGGGTGAAGGGTGACCTAGGGCAGCCAAGCAGAGCTTCCCTCCATCCGGGGAAGACCCGAGGCTGGGTCCTGGGAAGGGACGGCAGGGGAGGCAGAGGAGCCTGGCTCACAGGAATCCCTCCCGATGCTGAGCAGACAGAGTGGGGGCATCCACGCGTGGGATGGGAGGACAGACTGAGGAGCGAATGGTAGGCTTGAGAAGGGTTTGAAAGACTGAGGCCTTGTTTCGTAGGAAGGGGAAACCGAGGCCAGCAAAGTACTTGCCTGCGGACACTGTGTGGGTGGGTCACCCAGGACAGTCCCCTGGGTGACATCCCTGTTGCTCAGTTCTTTCCACTACCTTCAGGGGTTCTCAGCCAAGGCCAGTGTGGATAATGTTTAGAGACAATTGGATGGTCACACGTGCAGGAGGTATTACTATTGGTGTCCAGTGGGCAGAGACCAGGGATGCTGCTGACCATCCGACAGTCCCCCCACAGCAAGGAATCATCCAGCCCCAAATGCCCGTGATTCCAAACTGAGAAACCCTGTGCTTGGGCCAGCTCAGCGTTCACACCTCCCTGGCCCCCAAGCTCTTTGCCCCCCGCAGGGCAGACAGCTCAGGCTGGGGCCTCCAGCTGGGCAGACCTTTGCCCCCAGCCCTGGCCTGCCCCTCCCATGGCTGCTCCTTTATTTCCGGTAGCTTCTCGCGTCCTCTCTGCTTTTTCTGGGCACAGTGGTCTAGCAGAGTCCTGCCCACCATATGTCTGCCTTGTCCGTGTGTCTGTCTCCCCAGACCTAGCTTCACAGAGTCTGGTGTTAGGTGGGGAGACACCAACGTGGAAGTTTCCAAATAGTGCAGAGTAGGCGCCTTGCAGATGAAATATTTATGACGTTTGAGTGGCATGCTCAGGGTCCAAAGATCCTCATTTTATCTCAGCTTTCACTTGAGTGACTCACATTGTACCTTATGTGTGTGAGGCTCCGCACTTCTCACAGGCTCCCCGGTGACATTGGAGCTGCTGGGGACGGAGCGCACTGAGTGGCAGGTATCACAGGGCTGCGGGAAGGGAGGGGGCTGTGGGCCCGGCCGCTCTCCCCACAGACAGCTGTGGACCGAGGAGCAGAAGGACCCGTGGCGTGGAGTCAGGAAACCAGGATAGGAGTCATCTCTCCCTCGTCCATCTATGGCCTCTTAGCTTAATGGAGTCTGGATAAATCACTTCACTTCTTCGAGGGCTGGTCTCCCACGGCCGGCGGTCCTCCAGGAATTCTGATTCGGGGTCTGGGAGAGGGACGTGCCCTGTGGAAGCGGGTGGCCCGTGTCCTGGCAGCCACAGGGCAATGGGCCCCTGGCCTGGCCAGCGGGGAGGGCAATGAGCTGAAGTTGGCAGAGGGGCACCGTGCCAGCATGGAGGCGGCTCTCATTATGGCTCTGGTTTGTCTCTGTGGTGGCCACAGCCTCCTGCTTCCAGCTCGCAGAGCTGGGCCTGGTGTGGGAGAGCTGGAGGGACAGGTCTGGCCAGGGGGAGGAGAGCTGGTGCCCCGGGCCAGCCCTGGGCCGGAATAAGTGGCCTGAGGACTGCGGGTCAGGCCTGAGAACGATGACCTAGGGCAGTGGTCGGCAAACTCATTAGCCAACAGAGCCAAATATCAGAAGTACAACAATTGAAATTTTTTTTGAGCCGAAAACCAACGTCTGCGTGTGGGCCACGAAGTTTCGCTCGCACTGTATGTGAGCACCATGGTGTTTTGTGGAAGAGCCACACTCAAGGGGCCAAAGAGCCGCATGTGGCTCTCGATTTGCCGACCACTGGCCTAGAGACACCGGGGTCAGCGGTGGGCCGTGGATGGACTTCTCATCCTCCTAAGGAAACTGGGAGGGACTTGTAGTTGGAGCCTGAAACTGGAGCTCCCTCCACCCACGGCGGCAAGGAGATGAGCCCCAGAATAGAGCTGGGCAGAGCCTTAGGCACCTGGGGTGCTCCCACTGCTGGCACCTCACAAACCAGCCACGATGAGCCATCGAGGCCCCTTCCAATTCCTCGGACCAGGAGGCAGCGAGATGGCTGAACCCATTTCTCAGGCGGAAAAACTGAGCCGCCTGTCTCCTTATTTCCTGGGAGGATACCTGCCTTTAGGGCTGTTGCCTGTTACGCATAGTGGCCAGGGCCTGCTACGTCATGAGGCTGCTCCCCGTGCACCCCAGGGAGGGGTGCCCGCCTCCTCCTGTTCCCACAGTTGGGCCACCTGGGGTGTTGGGGCCCCCATCTCCGCCCTTCTCCTTCCTGGCTGTGAGGTCCCGGGCAGTGCACTCCGCCTCTCTGAGCCTCCGCTGGTGTGTCTGTAAACAGGGATAATGACACCCACTCGGCCACACCGGCAGGGTGTTGTGACGAGGAACTGGGCCCTGTCGCTGAGCACTGCGGTCATCATTACTCACGGCATTCGGAGGCCCAGCGAAGCCCAGGCCGCCTTACCCTGTGCCCTCATTCCACAGATGTGGGGCTTGGCACCCGGAGGAGGGAGGCAGCTGGCCGGGAGCCTCACGGTCGGTCGGTAGGCGAGCCAGCGCTGGAACCCACGTCGGCTGGCACCCCTCCCAGCCCGTGACTTCGAAGGCGCTCGGAGGGCGACACGCTGTAAGCCGGGGGTCAGGATGCAGAGTCTCCCCACGGGGGCGTGGGGTGGGCGGGGACCGGGCCTCGGTCCCAGCACGGCCTCCTTTGCCAGCCCCAGCCATGAACTACGTGGGCCAGCTGGCGGGGACCGTGTTTGGGACGGTGAAGGAGCTGTACCAGGGCCTGAACCCGGCCACGCTGAGCGGCGGCATCGACGTGCTGGTGGTGAGGCAGGTGGACGGCTCCTTCCGATGCTCGCCCTTCCACGTGCGTTTCGGCAAGCTGGGTGTCCTGCGGTCCCGGGAGAAGGTGGTGAGTGCTGGCTGCCGCCGAGGGCCGCGGCCGGGGGTTAGGGCCGGGGCCGGGTGGGCTTTGAGGCCAGGGCAGCCACCGCGCTCCCAGGAGAGCACCTGGGCCTCCCTTCGGTGGGGATCCGTCCTCTGGACAGGCTTCCGGCCCTCTGTGTTTTCTTGGATGGTTTTAGGTTAGTCTGGGGCTTATGGTCCGAGGGGTTCCTCTTTTCTCCTAAAAGCAGCGTAGTGGGACCATCAGGCCTGAGGCTCGGTAAGGCCTTACCTGTGTGTTCTCATACGTGGCATCACCTGTGCAGGTGGTGTCTCCTGCCTGATGATTGATAGGAGGTGGTGACGCCATCCCTGGGCCAAGCCCGGGTCACACTCAGAGGTCCGTTCCTCTCCCTCAGGAAACCTGCCCTGCTGTCACTGGGCTCTGGTGTGCGAAAGAGGGTGTGGTGGGCCCAGGCCCCTCCACACGGGGGTGACTGGGAACCGCCCAGAGTCACAGCGTAGCCTTGTGGGAGGTAGACTGGGGCCTGTGGTTAAGAACTGGATTCTGGATTCATAGCCTCCTCTGGCTACTTCCCAGAGAATGACGTAACCCCTCCCAGCCTCAGTTTCCTCATCTGTAAAGTGGGAATAATGATTGGAGGCTGGGAAGATCGAACAAGATGGTCTAGATAAAACAGGACGCTGAGTGCCAAGGAAGTGGCCATTCTCACCGTGGTTGGTGGAGTGCTAAAGCGCTGCCCTGGGGCCGGGGACTGGCAGTGACAAGAATCACCTCCTTGTTCTCCTGGGCTGCGGGGGAGAGAGGAACACAGAAACCAGAGCATAAACAGGGATGCTGAGACCAGGCTCGTGCCTCAGAGCCTCAGGAATGGGGAAGTGTGCTGGCGGAGGGCACGGAGGTTCAGCCAGCCTCCCCGAGGGGGCAGCGGCCCTCAGAGCGGGGAGCAGCCTGGCAGATGCAGGGCTGGAGGAGGGGGGCAGCCAGGACCCCGTCCCTGGGCCCCGCTGGGAGGCTGGCGCCCCCGTGAACCGGAGTGAGGGCAGACGGCAGCCCAACCTGCCCCGCTTCAGGTGGACATTGAGATCAACGGGGAGCCCGTGGACCTGCACATGAAGCTGGGGGACAGCGGGGAGGCCTTCTTCGTCCAGGAGCTGGAGAGCGATGAGGTAAGCACCTCCGTCCCTGACAGCCCCTGCCCCTGCCCCACACTGGTGCCCCCTCTGGGCGGGCTCTTGGGGTTTGTCACTGTCAGCAAGGGTCCCATCATGATCTGCTCTCGGAGCCTGGGTGGAATGTGGGGGGAGGGGAGGGGACGCGGGCCGAGGTACTTCCCATGGAAAGTGGGGGGAGGTGTCTCGGAAGAGGACACTGGAGCCGGTCCCTGCAGGGTGAGGAGGCGGCCTTCCCTGGCAGCCGGGGAGAGGAGGAGGCCGAGGCGTGGCCAGGGCTGGAGAGCATGAGAAGGCTTGCTGTGGATCTGGGCAGGCTCAGGGCCGCGGGAACAGGGAAGGACGTGGGTGGAGCACAAGAGAGGGGTATTTGCAGAGGGAGGCAGGCCCAGCACGAGCCTGAGCCCGCAGAGGTGTTTAAATAGTTTGAACTTGACACGCTTTAACCGAGCCCCGTGCCAGACACTGCGGTGAACTCAGACGAGGGCTGACCCCCAACTTCAAAGGAGGTTCCCAAACAGGCCTGGGAGTCAGACATGTAAATAATGGCTGATGACACCCTCTGGTCATTACAGTGAAGGGGGCGGGAACCGAGGCTGAGAGTAGTCAGGGCAGACTTCCTGGAGGAAGCGACGCCTGGCTAAGTCTTAAAAGGGAAGTGGGTGTTTCCAGGGGGAGGCTTGGGCAGAGACGATGAGAGGCAGATGCCCAGGTCTGTCCAGACAGTGCGGGCCACACCCTGGGCTGCCAGGGCTGCGTCACCCCTGAGGGAGCTCCAGGGCCATGCTGCTGCCACCTCTGTCCAGCCTCCACGCCTGCTTTCCTGACCCCAGAGGAGCTCGCTCCAGGGCCTGAGACACTGGCAGGGCTCAGGGTGCCTGGTGACGAGAGCGATCCCCCTCAGCTGTCCCCTGATCCTCCCCACAGGAGAACGTGCCTCCCCGCCTGTGCACATCCCCCTTACCGTGGGGAGGCCTGTCGGGCTTCCCCTCGGACTCCCAGCTGGGCACGGCCAGCGAATCCGAGCCCATCGTCCTGGGCGCGGCCTCCACGGGGAGGAAGAAGAGGCTGCGGAGGAGGAAGCCCAGGTGGAAGGAGGACACGGTGGCCGACGACTCCAGTTCCGAGGAGCTGGAGGCGGGCGCCGAGAGCGAGCTGGCCCTGCTGGAGAAGCCGAGGCCGGAGCCCGCAGGGTGTGTGCAGACCAGGTGGGCGCCGCGGGCGTGAGGACGCTGGCCCGGGTTCAGGCGCCGTTCCCTCTGCGGGTGCTGTGGGACCCTGGGCGAGGGCCTTGGCCTCTCTGGGCTTAGCCCCGGAGGTCCAGGCTCCCTGCCCTGTGCCGTGCGTGACCGTTCCTTCCCCTGTGGCTCTCACAGCATCCAGCGGGAAGAGGAATCCTCGTCGCAGCCTGCAGACACCTACCCCCTCTCCGACGGCGAGTGGCCCTCCCCGGCCAGGTGAGGACCCGGTGGCCGCAGGCGGGGACTCAGGACCAAGGTGGTTTCCATTTCCATTTTTTTTTCTTTTTTTAAAAAAAATATATATGTTATTGATTTTTTTACAGAAAGGAAAGGAGAGAGAGAGAGAGTTAGAAACATCAATGAGAGAGACATCCATCAGCTGCCTCCTGCACACCCCCTACCGGGGATGTGCCCGCAACCAAGGTGCATGCCCTTGACCGGAATCGAACCCGGGACCTTTCAGTCTGCAGGCCGACGCTCTATCCACTGAGCCAAACCGGTTTTGGCCATTTCCATTTTTTTTTCCTAATAAATAATGACTTCGAGCACATTTAATGTGTTTACCAGCCACGTGTATATCTCCTTTGTAAAGCGTTAAAGTTGTTTTCCCATTAAAAAGGAAATTGGTGGTAATATGTACATGACATAAAATGTACCACGTTAATCCTAGTGAAGTGCACGATTCAGTGGCATTTAATAAATTTGTAATGTTGTGCCGCCATCCAAGACAGTCCTTCCAAATGGAAATCTTATACCCACTAAGCAGTCACTAACTTGTCCTCCTCCCCACCATCCCCTGCTTTTTTTACTGGACTGCCTTCTCCTCATTGATTTCCAATAGTAAGATTTGGTGGGAGTTCTTTATATATTCATATATCCTTTATATGTTCTGGGGATGCAACACAAGCATAACTATGTTTTGAAAATACTTTTTCCGGGCTTGGCGGGGGGCAGAAGGGGGGTGGCAGCAGGCTGGTTTGGGGGTCTCTGAACTCTTGTTTCCTGCAGCCTTTCGTCGGGAGAGCTCACATCCCCTAAGAGTGACTCGGAGCTGGAGGTGCGGACCCCGGAGCCCAGCCCCCTGAGAGCCGAGTCGCACATGCAGTGGGCCTGGGGCAGGCTGCCCAAGGTGAGTTCCCCTGTGCCACCCCCTCCCTGCCTCTCCGGGGACCGCAGGGTCTGAGATGGGGCCCACCTAGTGGGGTGTGGGAGGCAGCCCCTGCGTCGGCCCTGCCCACACCCTCCCCGCTTGTTCGATGGAAAAGGTGGCCAAAGCCGAGAGGCCCATGTCCTCGACGGTCCCCGATGGCAGCACTGGAGCAGCCTCCGCTCACGGAGAGCCCAGCACCCCTGACCTTCCGCCCGACACGGAGGGGCCCGCGCTGGTGGGTCCCCCCCTCGCTGCCCCCGAGAGAGAAGAAGAACCCAAGGCTCAGAAACCCAAGGACTCGGGTCTCTCTCCGGCCTCAAAGTCCTGGAGCTGGGCCGCGCTGGAGGGTCCGGCTCCCCCTGGGCCGCCAGAGGGCTTCCCCCGGAGGAAAGGTGAGTGATGGCCAGACCTCTCCCCCCCTCCGCCCCCCCCCACCCCCCGTGCTTCCCTGGCCTCATGCTACCTCCGGGGGCTGGACTCGGGGCATCAGGCCTGGGTTGAGCACCTGCTGTGCGCCTGGCATTGTGTCTGACACCAGCCCTCGTGGGGGCAGACAGACAATGCGTACAAAAGGCAGGAGGAACGTTACAGCGATGGCGCGGTACCGTTCACTGGGTGGGACGGGGCCGCCTAGATCACACGGTCAGGGATGGCCTCTGCACCTGGGCGATGTTTGAGCGGAGACATGAACAATGAAGGCCCAGGCAAGTGAGGATCGGGGGAGGAGAATTCTAGGCAGAGGGAATGGCATGGTTCAAGGCCACGAGGCAGGAGAGAGGTGTCATGTTTAGGCACTGAGGCAGCTGGTGTGTCTGGAGCAAGGCCTGGGAGAGCAGGGGGGAAGGGAGGAGAGGCCAGGAGATGAGCAGAGGCTAGCTGTTCTCACTCACCTGCTGGGACTGATTCTGAGTGCATGGGAAGGCACCGGCTGGTCCCTGGATACCCGTGGCTATTTAAAATTATAACGAAGTGCCGGGACCGGTTTGGCTCAGTGGATAGAGCGTCGGCCTGCGGACTGAAAGGTCCCGGGTTCGATTCCGGTCAAGGGCATGTACCTTGGTTGCGGGCACATCCCCTGTGGGGGGTGTGCAGGGGGCGGCCGGTCGATGTTTCTCTCTCATCGACGTTTCTAACTCTCTGTCCTTCTCAATTCCTCTCTGTGTAGAATGAATAAAATATATTAAAATAAAAAAAATTACAACGAAGTAACAATAAAAAAAAAAAATTCCATGTCTCCATCACACCACATTTTAAGTGTACTGGTAGTCCCCTGTGGCTGTTGGCTACTGGACGGGGCCAGCGGACATTGGACGTTTCTATAATAGCATCGTAGGAAGTCCACTGGCCAGTGCTCATTAGGGTGCTCTGAGACAAGGGGTCACACGGCAGAGCACACGCCAGGTCTGCAGCCAACGGCATCCCTCTGCCCTCAGGCTCCCTGAAGAGAAGCCAGCACCTGGGCCCCATCTACCTGGACGACCTGTCCTCCCTGGATTCTGAGAACGCGGCCCTTTACTTCCCCAAGAGGTGCCCGGGTTCTGGGTGCCGGAGGCTTGGGATCAGGACCTGAGGGGCCAGGGGTGGGCTGTCAGGGGCTTGAGAGGGGTGAGGCCCTCCTCCCAGCCTCCTTGTGTTCATGTCACCGCTGACCCCTCCCCTCCCCGCCCTCCCACCCCCAGTGACCGTGGGCTGGGGCCCAGGAGGTGGAGTGAACCCGGCGGCCAGAAGCCAATGGGGGACCCCAACCCCGAACAGGAAGCAGAACCCGCTCCGGACACGGTGGACACGATTGTGCTGTCTCTCTGCGGAGGCCTGGCTGACAGCCGGGACATCTCCCTGGGTATGTCCAACCGGGAGCCCTTCCAAGGACTGGCCCCGAGCCCCGGGGCTGGGGAGAGCGGGAGGACCCCCGAGGGCGGGGCAGCGGAGGGGTGAGGCTGGGCCAGGCTCCCCACATTCAGCCAGCGGGGATGGGGCGTTCCCCAGGGCCCGGGAAACCAAGGCCTGATGCTTAGCTGTGACGTATCCTGTGAGTCCAGGATGGTTCACAGGTTGCAATCCGTCAGCCCCAGGCCTGTGTCTGCCCACCCTCCACTTCCTGGCTAAGGGCCGCCCCCCGTTCCCCCTCCCAGGCCATGGCCACTCCCACAAGGCTCCTCCATTCCTGTGGCTTTGCACCTGCTATTCCAGCTCCAGTATTGGAGCTGGAATAGCAGGTGCAAAGCCACAGGAAGGTAGGAGCCCAGTGGGAGGCCTGAACGGTAGAGTGTGGAGGGACTGGGACAGTGGGTCCTTCGGGATGCATCAGCCTCTCCCCTCCCTCTCTGCCTCTGTGCCCAGAGAAGTTCAACAAGCACGTGGTCTCCTACCAGGACCTCGTCCAGAACCCTGGCCTCTTGGACGACCCAAACCTGGTGGTGAAAATCAACGAGAAGTAAGTGCCAGGGCGGGGCTGCCGGTCGCCACAGGAGTCACCCCACCTCCTCCGTGACCCTGCGGCTCCTACACCCCGTTCTGTCCCCCCAGGCACTACAACTGGGCCGTGGCTGCCCCCATGGTCCTCTCCCTCCAAGCCTTCCAGAAGAACTTGCCCAAGGTAATGGTGAGAGCACCACGGGGCCTCCTGGGGAACGTGCTGCGGCCTCGGGGTGGGCGGCCCTTAGCCAGGAAGCGGAGGGTGGGCGGAGACGGGGCCTGGGGCTGACGCAAGACCCACGCTGCTGCCAACACTGCCGTGTGGGCAAAGCCGCCCCCTTCCCTGGCTTCCTGGCGCAGCCGAATCCCACTGGATTCGGACTTCACCGCAAAGGAGCTCAGGGCAAACCAGAGGGGGACGAACACTCGACAGGGACGTGCCTTCAGCAGGACAGACGTTTTCAGATCTGGGAGACGAGGCTTGGGAGAGGGAGTTCCCACTCCTCACCTGTCCCTGAGACCCTCTGAGGCTGGGCTTCGGGTGTTTGTCCACTTTATCAGCACACATTCATTACGTACCTACTATGTGCCATGCCCTCAAAGAAAGACAGTTAAGGATGCAGCCAGGGGAACGTAAAATTCAGCCGTCTGTATCGGGAAGGAGGGGCCTGGGTTGCTCTGAGAGCCTCACCAGGGAAGTTTGCTGGGCACGTGCCTCCCGGGCAGAGATCGGAAGGATGAGTAAGGCTGGGCGGGAACAGCATGTGCTGGTGCTCAGAGGCGGGAAGGAACCAGCCTCTTCAGCCCCTCCTCGAGCCTCCACCCTGTTCTAACCTGCGCCTGCCCCTGGTGCCCTCCTGGAAGTGGTGCAGGGCCCCGCCCCGGCCTATTGTTCTCCACTTGGTTCGAGTTGTTGCCCAAAGAGCATCACTAGCCAGATGCAGACAGAGGGTGCCTCCCTTTGGGGATGCTGAGCTCCATCCTCTGGCTGGCTCTGGGTCCGAGCTAGACCCACAGCCTGTGAGGAGGAAGAGGGTCCGTCTTCTGCGTAGCTGTCCTCACCCAGACATCCCCACCACTGAGGTCCCTGGGAGACTGCCTCGGCCCGTCCCCAGCTCACGTGGGCACCCTGGCCGGCCCACCCCCACGCCCATGTCCTCCTGACGTGGCCGCACCATTCTGAGTTTGTAGGAAGCACAGCTCTAATCAGTAATCTCCACAAGCGCGTGTTACCCCCACCAGACAGGAACGGTGACACACGGAGGGCGCAGCTGTGGGACAGAATCGCTGACCTCACGGGTGGCCTGGGTCGGTCTCGGAGGTTGCGGGGAGTCTTGGCTCTAGACTGTCCGTCCTTCTGTCACGTGGTGGCATCATGCAGGGAGAGAAACGTCCCAAAGCTCTGCCTTCAGCTGCCCTGGAGAGACTGACCCACAGGATTCGGAAGCCGGGCCCAGGTTGGGCTAGAGGTCGGGGGTCAGGGCTGGACGGAGGGGCCCGGGTCTCCCATGCTTGCTTACATGAACCCTACGGCGATGGAGGGTGCGCTTCCTCTGCCTTGTGGGAAACGCCATGGCCTTTGTCTGCCCGCAGAGCACCGTGGACAAGCTGGAGAAGGAGAAAATGCCCCGGAAGGGTGGGCGGTGGTGGTTCTCCTGGCGACGCAGGGACTTCCCGGCCGAGGAGGTGGGTGGCCACGGTCCCGGGGTGGGGTCAGCCCGGGCAGGAGCAGGCCGTTCACTGGATGTTCTTCCCGCAGAGAAGTGCCCCGAGGGAGAAGACCGCAGCCCGGGAGGCACGGGGGTGAGTGGCTCTCTTGGCTGGGGGTGGGGAGGAGGGCTGTTGGAGGGTCGGAGTGGTGCAGGCACCCCTCCCCCAGCCGTGATTCTCTGTCGCTCCCTCATCACTCCTACACCCTTTCTTTCTCCTGAGAAGTGCCCCCATTTCACAGATGGGAAAACGGAGGCTTGGAGATAGACCAAAGGCCCCGCAGCCGAGAAATGGCAGAGCTGGAGTGGGTGCCTTGACTCCTGGCCCAGACAGAGCCCCTCCTCTCTGCCTGCTGATTTCGCTTCCTTTTTCACCTCCGAGCTGAGCCAGAATGCCCAAGGCGGGAGGTGGGGGAAGGTGGCCAAGGTGAATCCACGGCAGCCAAAGCAGGTTACCTCCCGGCAGGTCTGGCATCCTGGTCACAGAGAGGCGCCGAGGGCTCTGCCGCCCCCTTTCTGGGTCGAGGGAGGGGTTTCCAGTCCCCTGGCAGACTCTGGGCTGAGGGGCGTCAGCGGAGTGCAGCGCCTTCGGTGGGCGGAGGTGCTAACAGCTGGGCTGCCCACAGGGAGAAGTCGGATGTCCTGAGCAGCGAGGAGGACGCCCCCGACAGCCCCGTCATCCTGGAGGCGCCCTCCCGGCCGCCCTTGCCTCCTGCCTACACGCCCGCCTACAAGAAGTCCCTCCGCCTCTCCTCGGACCAGATCGTACGTGGGGCCCGGGTGTGTGCGTGGGGGATGGCGGGGGTGGGAGTAACTCTGTCAGAGCCCCATGGCCACTAAAGCCGGGAATCCAGCCCCTTGGCAGCCTCTGAATCCCCCCGGGGACGGGCTTGCTGCTCTACATGCCGGTCCGTTTCTGTCCTCCAGTGCCCTCCCGGGAGAAGCCCTCTCTCGGCCTAAAATACCAGCCTGCAGCGGGCGGTGGGCTGCGCTCTGGCCCTCGGAATCAAATGTTGGCCCTGGGTTCACGGCTCCGAGCTCAGGAACAGGTGGCTCCCGAAATAAGGATGTTTTCTCTCTGAAAACATCACAGGAGGTGCCCGGGGGCCGGGCCAGTCCGGCACAGAGCGGCTGCCAGCTGCGTGGTGCCCCGGACCCACCCCGGCGATGGCTGAGCTGCCCGCCTTCCCTGTGGACCAAGGGAAGGGTCTCTCGTTGGGATATCCCGGGGCTGCCGTGAGGATCCCACAGGGCCTTTCCATACAGTGCGGTGTCTCCCTGTCAGGGGCCGTGCCTGCCCCGGGACTGGCCTGAGAAACTGGAGTGGGAGCTGCGGGCCAGGCTCTGTCCTCGAGCTTCACCCCAAAGGAACACAAGAGGGAGGTTAGGGCTCCTGTGCTGGCCCTGTGCAGCACCCCCTCCCCCTCCCCACACCCCCTCACTGCCTCTTCGGGGCCACCCTCTGCCACGTGGCACTCTCTGAGGGATGCAGGCGGGTTCTCTGAGCCAGGAACGTGAGGAGAAGGAGAGGCCTGGGGGTTGAAGGCCACAGTTTGGGGTGGCAAGGAGTGGACGGTGCCTGGCTGTGGCCGATCACAGCTCTCCCCACCTTTGCCCGGCCCCAGCGGCAGTTGAACCTGCAAGAAGGTGCCAACGAAGTGGTCTTCAGCGTGACCACCCAGTACCAGGGTACCTGCCGGTGCAGGGCCACCATCTACCTGTGGCAGTGGGACGACAAGGTGGTCATCTCGGACATCGACGGTACCATCACCAAGTGAGGCCTGGTTGGTGGGGGTGAGGGGCGAGGCCTGGAAATGTGCCGTCCACTGCGCTGGGGGCGGGGGCCAGGGGAGAGCCCCGCCCCCGTGCACCATCTTGGGGGGCTGGGAGCTGGGCCCCATGCCTGGAACATGAGGGCCACATGAGGCTGCCTTGGAGTGACCCCTCCTCTGGGATCTAGGTCGGACGCTCTGGGCCACATCCTGCCCCAGCTGGGGAAAGACTGGACACACCAGGGCATCACGAGTCTCTACCACAAGATCCACCTGTGAGTGCTGGGGCCGGGGCAGGGCCCCAGGGAGGGAGGGAGGGAGCCACAGGACCGTCTAGGCCACCATAGCCCTGGCCCTGGGAAGCCAGGCTTGGGGACCAGCAGGGCCCAGAGAGGAAGAAGCTGAGCCATGTCACTTCCTCCCGAGGAAGACTCGTCTCCTGGGGTGTGGGATCGGGGTCTGACTGCTGGGCTTCACGCTCCAGAGGAAGTCTGCAGGCTGGTCACATCTTGTCCTCTCAGCCTGCCCAGCCGTTCTCCTGGACCGCTCCCTGCAAAGGCCTCTAAAATAAGCCTGGAGGCTTGAGCTGAGCTGGCTGAAGCCAAGAGGGCAGGATGGGTGGTGCCACCTGACCCTGTGCCGGGACAGGCCCCCTCATGGCTCCGTGCCACCCGTCTCCACCCCCAGAAACGGGTACAAGTTCCTGTACTGCTCAGCACGGGCCATCGGCATGGCTGACCTCACCAAGGGGTACCTGCAGTGGGTGAGCGAGCGGGGCTGCGGCCTCCCGAAGGGCCCTATCCTGCTGTCTCCCAGCAGCCTCTTCTCCGCCCTGCACAGGTAAGCCCCTGCACGGCACAGCCCACAGCCCGCCCAGGCCGGCACTGGGCCCATGTCACCTGACCTGCCGTCCTCCCATTGCTCCCCCTCCTCCCTCCGCTGCCTTCCCGGCCCCGCCCCGCAGGGAGGTGATTGAGAAGAAGCCAGAGGTGTTCAAGATCGCCTGCCTGAGCGACATCCAGCAGCTGTTTCTGCCCCACGGACAGCCCTTCTATGCCGCCTTTGGGAACAGACCCAACGTGAGTGTCTTCTCCCCGAGGCCCGAGGCCCCGCTCCCCGCCCCGCAGCCCACCAGCCCCTCCTTGTCCCCGCAGGACGTCACCGCCTACCGGCATGTAGGCCTGCCTGCATCTCGGATCTTCACCGTCAACCCCCGGGGAGAGCTAATCCAGGAGCCCATGAAGAACCACAAATCCACGTGAGGCCAGACCCTGCCCCGGGTCCCCGGGCCCTGCCCTGTCCCCACACCCCACCTCTGCCTGGGCCCCAGCTCCAGCCCTGCACAGGGGCCTCTGTGGCTTGCCCAGGGCTCCCAGGCAGGGTGCAGCTGGCCTGATGGGACAAGGGATTAGGGGGGGCAGTGGCCTGGCAGCAGCTCAGGCCCTCAGTGCCGGCCCCTTCTTGCTCGCAGGTACAAGCGGCTCAGTGAGGTGGTTGAGCTCCTCTTCCCACCCTTGGACCGTGGCCCCAGCGCAGACCTGGCCAGCCCTGAATACAGCAGCTTCTGCTACTGGCGGGAGCCGCTGACCGCTGTGGACCTCGACACCCTGGCCTGACCCCGCTTCCTCCCTCCCTGGCCTGGCCCAGGACTGACCGGGGAGCCCAGGACGTCGGGGGCGGGAAGCGCGGTGCCACAGGACCAGCCGGATGTGGAGCGGGGAGATGACGGCTGGTCGGCAACCTCGCTCCTCCCTGCCCTGTCTCCTGCCTCTGCCGGCGGAGCTGCAGGGGGTGGGGCGGCTGTTCCGGGCCTCCGCTGGCCTGCGGCGATTAAATGACTGTCACCTGGGCCCTTGCAGTGTTCTCCGAGACCTCGATGTCTCTGTCCCTGTCACTCTTGAGGCTCTACCTCAACTCCTGATGGGACAGAGGGAAGAGGGAGGCCCCACTGAGGCTTGAGAGCGGTAAGCACAGGGAAGGCTGGCGGCGGGGCACAGACTAGCATCTGGGAGGAACACAAGGCCCCACCACCACCACCCCTTCAGGGAGCCTCTGAGGCCAGGCCCTTACACAGCCCTGGCCCCTTCCCACAGCTCTCAAGCCAGACACCTCAGCACGTCCCCTGAGGATGCAGCCCCAGATCCTGCCAAGCAGGTGGGGTTGGCCTGCCGCCCTCCCCGAGTTCGGTGCCCACACAGCTGCTGAGCAGACTCTTGCCCGAGGAGCTGTGGGAAGCAGGACGGACACCCGCTGCCGTCATCCCTCCCGCCGTCTCTGGGGAAGAAAGTACCTTCAGTTTAGAAAGGCTAAAAGCTTTAATCCGGCCCTCCCCAGAGCACCAAAACCCTCCCCGACAGCACCATAACCCTCCCCGAGAGCACCGTAGTGGACAACGTAATTCCAAAGTGTCCAGAAGCTGGGAGGCAGGGCGACTGGAACTTGCAGAGCAGCACGGGGGTGGGGGTGGGGCCATGCTGCCATGGGGAAACTGAGGCCAGGAGGGTCTCTGGGCCCTGTGCAGGCCAGAGGCACGCTCGCATTTCCAGATTGTTCCTTGGTCATGTTCCACTTGCATTCCTCACGACTTCATGACCATCCAAGCGAGGCGTTTGCAAGGATTCTGGGAACGAGGTCCGGAGCCCTCTTCCTCCAGCCGTGGCCTTCTGCCCAGGGCTTGGCCCCATTCCGGCCATGACATACAGGAGAGTGGCCCTCAAGATTCTCCCACACACGCGCAGGGGAGGGGACCGTGTGGGGATCTCCGAACAGTCCCCAGGGCCTGAGGCTGTCCTCTGGGAATCGACAGGTCCCCTAAGCCCCCACCTTGGGGGAGGACCCAAAGGAATAAAGAGAAGTCGTGCCTGAGTCGGTGTGTCTGTTCTGCCCGGAAGGGCCTGTGGTGGCAGGAGCCTCCGGTCCTTGGTTCAGAAATAGCTTCTGTGGAGCTGCCAGGTGTGAGGACAGTGCCAATGGGCAGCACCTTCCTGCAGAGGACGGGAGAGAAGCTAAAGGGACAAAGGAACCAGGAGCCTCCATGGGCTTGGGCCTGCTGCCCGTGGGCAAAGGGGCATGTGGACAGGCCACTGTCTGAGAACGGACCTGCAGTCTTTGCCCAGGAGCCAAGTCACGTCTGCAGAAAGGCAACTGGCAAACTGGATGGTGAGGTCTCTTAGGTGTGCAGGCACGTTGTACTCGCCTTGGCCACTGTCCTGAGCTGTCCAGTTGGTGCAGCAGTGAGCACGGATGTTCACGCCTGAGGCAGTCACGTGCAGCTGGACCAAGACTGTTCCTTCAGTAGCCTCTGCAATGGCCGAGGGAGGCTGGGAGCACGGTCTGGGCTCTGGGGCGATGTCCCCAGGGTTGGTAGGATCTGGGGGTTGGGTCCTGTCCAGCCTGCCTAGTTGGCCCGCCCCAGCTGCCCCTGCTCCGCCAGCTGGGCTTGGCAATCCAGCAGGTCATCCCGGAGGCGGGCGATGTCCTGTGCGTGCTGGGCCAGCGTGCGGTTCAGCCGATCCACGTGGCCCCACAGGCCCTCCCCGGGCCTGCGTGGGTCAGTGGGCAAGCTGCTGAGGTCTGCAGCCACTGGGCCCAGCTTCCCACACACGCCCTCCACTTGGGCCACCCTCTGATCGAAGTGGCCCACCGCCAGCTGGAGTTCCTGGGCTGTGTCCTGGCAGCGGCTCAGCCCGCCCGCCACGTCGGCCACGCCGGCCTTGAGCTGCTCCAGCTCCCCCCGCAGGCTCAGGACCTGCCTGTGGCCGGCTCGCAGCCGCGAGCCCTGGCTGCTGACCTGCTCCTGGATGGCGTGGACCTCGGCCTCCACCTTGCGTTCCCGCTCGTCCAGGGAGCTGTTGGTGGCCAGGAAGGCGTCGGAGTACTGGCTGACGGAGTCGCTGAGGCCTGTGAGCGACTTGCTCACGGAGTTCAGGTTGACCTTGAGCAGGGTGATCTCGCCCTGGAGCGAGCTGCCCGTGGCTTCGGCCAGCTGCCCCTGGACCTCGGCCACGGTGCCGTTGAGCTGCTGCAGTAAGGCCGTGTGGCTGGCCACCTGGCGGAGGAGGACCTCGATCTGGCTCTGCCAGGCCTTCACTTCCGCCACGAGGTTGTTCAGGACCGCCGAGGTGGCGCTGGGGGCACAGGAGGCCTCCAGCGACACCAGCCGCTGTTCCAGCACGGCGAGCTCTGCCTGCACCAGGGGCCCCGCCGGCCTGCCCGGCGGGGCGCTGTCACGGCCGAGCTCCCCGGCCAGTGCCAGCAGGCGCTCCTCCAGGCTGTGCACCCGCTCCTCCAGCATGGTCCTGAAACCGCCCACCCCGCCTCCCCCTTCCCCCGCCCCCCCACAGCAGCCCCGCCCTCCGCGCTCTGTCCCATTGAGGGTCTCCAGGCCCTCAAGAAGTCCGTCCACACCCCCGTCGAGCATGGCAGCGGAGAGCCGCGTGAGCTCGTCCCCGGTGCCGGGGCCGCCACGGCCCCTCTGGACCTCGGTGACGGCCTGCAGGTTGCTCTCGAGGCTGTCCATACGGGCGCTGACCAGGGCGAGCTGGCTGCAGCAGCTGCCCCTGCCGGCCACGCTCAGGCCCTGCAGCCGGGTGCCCAGCTGCGAGAGCTCCCGGCGCAGGGCCAGCTCCCGGCCATCCAGGCTCTGGTGCAGCCGCAGGCTGGCCGCCTGGCCCTCCTCGCACTGCCGCCGCACCTCCTGCACTCGCAGGTCGCACGCGCTCTGCACGCCTTGCAGCTTCTGCTCGAAGCCGTCCAGCAGGCTCCCCCAGAGCTGGTGCAGCCGGCGGTCCACGTACTCGTCCAGCAGGGCCAGGGAGGTGAGCGGAGACGGGGGCGCCTCCCGGAGCCGCTGCAGGTGGGCCTCGTGGCCGAGGGCCAGCCCGTGCACCTCGTCCAGCAGCCGCACCTTGGTCCGCAGCGTGTCGCTCACCTCGGTCACCTTGCTCAAGATCTCATCCAGCGGCAGTGTGAGCGGCCCTCCGGCCCCGTCTCCGGGGTTCGCAAACCCCTCGGGGATGCCTCCGAAGACCACACGGGGATCAGGGGCTCTGTTGGGGTCCTCGTGGCTGGCCACCAGGCCGCTGAGGGTACCGTATGCTTGTGCCAGGCGCTGGACGTCGCCCTCCAGGCGTTCCAGCCGCTCACCCAACAGCCCTAGGCTTTTCCGTCCTGGGAAAGAGGAGAGAACCCCGGGGTGGGATCACTGGCCTGGCTCTCTCAGCTAGTCCCGGTACCATGCCACCTGGGAGACTTTCCGTCCTAAGCCAACCTTGCTGGGCATAGCTCTGCCTTTTGGGGAGGGGGCCTGGGGGCTCACCCTTTTGCCCAGCACGAGATGCACCCTCCCTAACCCTGCCCACACTCAGCTAGCTTGGCTGAGTCCCCTTCCCACCTCCCCTTGGAAACCCAAACCCTCTGGAAGGGCCTCCATGGGCAGACTCACCGTAGGGGCTGGGGGTGGCTCTGCTGGAAGGAGGGGGCCTGGGGCCTGGGCTCAGCTGCCCAGAGGGAATCTGGGGCTCCAGCTCCGGCTGGGGGGGCGCCGCCCCGTGGTCTGTGAGGTGCTCGGGGCAGCCTTCTCCAGTGAGCCCAGGGCAGCAGCGCCAGGAGAGTTCCGTCACCCTCTTGTAGCCGAGCTTGTACTTGGGTCTGAGCGCCGTGCGGTACCTGGGCCAGGGGTGGGGAGAGGGCAGGGCTCGGTGTCTGTGGGCTGAGGCGCCTGCCTCCTGGCAGTGACCCTGCCCCCGGGCTGGTGTTCAGGGCCACGCTGACTGTGTCTGGGTGTCCTGCCTCCACAGCGCCCCCAGGATTTCCTCTCCTGTGCTGAAGGTGGCAGGGCCGGGGATGGAAGCAGGTCTTGCCAAGGCTCAGAGAAGGGTTAGGGGGGGGCAGGGAGAAGCCCCACCTCATCCTGTGAGCCTGGGGAAAAGGGGAACAAGAATTTAGCCCCAAGTTCTTACACCTCCAGTAGGACATGATCTCACTCATGTAGGGGAAATGATGAACAACACAGACTGAGGAACAAGAACAGACCCGGAGAGAAGGAGCCATGGGCCAGACAGCTGGACCTCAGAGGGAGGGTGGGGTTAAAAGGGAGAGATCAACCAAAGGACCTGTGTGCACACATAGGAGCCTAACCAGTGGTCAAGAACAATAGGAGGGTCGGGGTGGGAATTTTCTTTATTAAAATATGTGATATCTTAATAAAGAAATAAAAAAAATTTTTTTTTTAAATAGCCAAAACCGGTCTGGCTCAGTGGATAGAGCGTCAGTCTGCAGACTGAAAGGTCCCAGGTTCGATTCCAGTCAAGGGCATGTACCTTGGCTGCAGGCACATCCCCAGGCGTGCAGGAGGCAGCTGGCCGATGTTTCTCTCTCATCGATGTTTCTAGCACTCTATCTCCCTTTTTCTCTGTGAAAAATCAATAAAATGTATTTTTAATTTTTTTTTTTAAATAGAGCTACAGTAAAAAAAAAATAATAATAATTTAGCCCCAAGGCTCCCAAGGTCACCTGGACACCCTGGAGCTCATACCGCCATCAGACATTTCACTGTGGCTTTGGTGCGACCCTGAAGAATCCTGACAAAGGTTGCTGCTCTGGCACTGGGGCAAGC